CATCCAGGTGATTTCAATGCACAGTGAAGGTTGCAGACCGCTGTTAGAGGTGGTTTTTCCAAAGATCAAAGAAAAGCCTTTTTTTTTTTTTTATCATGGACTGTCTCAACTTCTAGAACCTCACCTCCTTTTTTTAATGCAATACAGGATATTGGTAATAATGTACACCTAGACTTTTTCAGAGTCACAAATCACTTTTACATGCACTATCTTATTATATTTTCAAATAAGCCTGTGGAAAATGTTCACACTGCTACGGAAAGATATGTGCTGAGCTTGCTGTGACATTGTTTACAAGACAGAAGAAAAAATGGAAACAACCTGAAAGCCAGCGAGAGGATGGTTAAATGTGTCATGGGGCATTCAAGCGATAGAAAATTCTATAGATATTATAAAAACTTAGGTAGCTCTATACACACTGACTTATAAAGATAGCCACAAACTATTTTTTAAATTTAAAAATCATCAAGTTCAGAATCATAATTGGAAATGATTCCATTGTTATTGGGTTTTTTCATTTTTTTATTTTTAATAACTTTGAGATTTCCTTTACATATAAAAATTGTATATGTTAAAGTATACAATTTGATGTTTTGATATATTAATATATGGAGAAAAGATTACCAAACTAAATAACATATCCATCAACTCTACATAGTTACTATTGTGTGTGTGTGTAAAGAAGTTTTCATTTAAGATCTATATTCTTAGCAAATTTCAAGTATACAATATTGCTAACTATCATCACCAGGCTGTACTCAGAACCCTTGAACTCCTGTATCTTGCATAATTGAAACTTTGTACCCTTTGACCAACATCTCATTACTGTTTCCCCAGCCCCTGAAAATCACCAAGCTATTCTATTTCTATGAGCTTAACTATTTGAGATTCTATAAGTGAAATCATATGGTACCTGTCTTTCTGGGTCTGGCTTATTTCACTTAGCATGATGTTGTCCTGATTCGTCCATGTTGTCGCAAATAGCAGGATTTCCTTCATTTTTATGGATAAATAATATTCCATCTTATTTTTCTTTACAGATTTTCTTTATCCATTCATTCATCAATAAAAACAGGTTATTTCCATATCTTGGCTGTTGTGAATAATGCTGTAGTGAACATGGGACTGCAGATGTCTCTTTGAGATCCAGATTTCATTTGCTTTGGATACATACCCAGAAGTGGGATCACTGGATCATATCGCAATTCTGTTTTTAATTTTTTGAGGAACCTCATATTGTTTTCCACAATAGTGATATGCCAGTGTACCTTCTTACCAACAATGTACAAGGGTTCCCTTTTCTCCACATCCTCGCCAACACTTGTAATCTCTTACCTTTTCGATAATAGCCATTCTAATAAGTGTGTGGTAATATTTCATTGTGGTTTTGATTTGCATTTTCCTAATGGCTGGTGATGTTGAGCACCATTCCATGTACCTATTGGCCATATATATGTCTCATTTTGAGAAATGTCAATTCAAGTCCTTTGCCCATGTTTAACCAGGTTATTTGGTCTTTTTGCTATTGAGTTGTATAATATGCATATCAACGTCTTATCGGATACTTGGTTTGCAGATATTTTCTCCTACTCTGTAGGTTGCCTGCTCACTGTTTTGATTATTTCCTTTGCTGTGCAGAAGCTTCTTAATTGGATACAGTCCACTTGTCTACTTTTGCTTTTGGGCCAGTACTTTTTGGTATCATGACCAAAAAATCATTGCCAAGACCAATGAATGTCAAGAAGCTTTTTCCCTATTTTTTTTCTACTAGTTTTCTATTTTTTTTCAGGTCTGATATATAAATCTTTAATCTGGCTTAAGTTAATTTTTATATGATATGAGATAACAGTTCAGTTTCATTCTTCTTCAGGGGATATCCAGTTTCCCCCCCACAACCTTTATTAAAGAGACTATCCTCTGCCCATTGCATATTCTTGGCATCCTTGTCAAAGATTAGTTGACTCTAAGTATGTGGATTTATCTCTGAGCCCTCTACTCTGTTCCACTGGTCTTTGTGTATGTTTTTATATCAGATCATGCTTTTTTTATTACTATAGCTTTGAAGTATATTGTGGAATCAGAAAGCTTTGTTCTTATTCAAGATTGCTTTGACTATTCGGAGTCTTTTGCAGTTCCATATTAATTTAGGATTTTTTTCTATTTCTGTAAAGAATGCTATTGGAATTTTGATAGAGATTGAACAGAATAATAATATGAACATTTTAACAATAACCCATAAACACGAGATGTCTTTCCACTTATCTGTCTTCTTTAATTTCCTACATCACTATTTTCTAGTTTTCATTGTACAAATCTTTCACTTCTTTGATTAAGCTTATTCCTAAGTACAGCTGACCCACTTGAACAATGGGAGCATTAGGAGTCCCAACCCCCCATGCAGTCAGAAATCCCTGTAGACCTTTTGATTTCATGAAAACTTAATTACTGATAGCTTATTGTTGATTGAAAGGCTTACTGATAACATAGAGCCAATTAACACATATTTTGTACATTACTGTATTCTTACAATAAAGTAAGCTAGAGAAAATAAAATTCAATTAAGAAAATCATAAGAGAAAATATATTTACAATATTTTACTGTATTTATCCCAAAAAATGCATATAAGTGGACCAGCTCAGTTCAAACCCATGTTGTTTAAGGTCAATTGTACTTTATTATTTTTGTTGCTATTGTAAATGGGATTGGCTTTATTAATTTCCTTTTCAGAGAGTTCATTGTTAGTCTATAGAAATGACATGAATTTTTGTATACTGAATGTGTATCAGGCAACTTCACTGAACTCATTTATTAGTGGCAACAGTTTTTTGTTGTGGGCAAATCTTCAGTGTATTCTACATACATAACTGTTTCATCTGCAGAGACCATTTCCCTTCCTCCTTTCTGTTTTGGATGCCTTTTATTTCTTTTTCTTATCTAATTGCTCTACCCAGAACTTAGCACTAGAAGTGGCAAGAGTGGGTATTCCTGTCTAAAAGGAAAAATTTTCAGTCTTTCCCCATGGATTATATGTAAGCTATGGGCTTTTCAGGTATGGCCTTTATTGCATTGAGGTTAAGTTCCTTCTATATCTGTTTTGTTGAGAGTTTTTATCATGAAGGATGGTGAATTTGTCAGATGCTTTTTCTGAATCTATTGAGATGGGCATGTGGTTTTAATCTTTCATTCTGGTAATGCAGTGTACTACCCTGGTTGATTTACATACATTAAACCATCCTTGCATCCCAGGAATCAATCCTACTTGGTCATGATGTATAATCTTTAAAAAAAAAAAAAAGATTTTATTTATTCATGAGAGACACACAGAGAGAGCCAGAGACATGGGAAGAAAGAGGAGAAGCAGGCTTCATGCAGACAGCCTGATGCGGAACTTGATCCCGGGACTCAGGGATCACGGCCTGAGCCAAAGGTAGACACACATTTAACCGCTGAGCCACCCAGGCGTCCTAATGTATAATCCTTTCAATGTGCTGTTGAATTCAGCTTGCTAGTGTTCCACTGAAGTTTTTTGCATCTATGCTCATTAGGGATATTGTCCTGTAGTTCTCTTTTCTTAAAGCATCGGGCTTTGTTTGGTATCAGGATGATGCTGGCCTCATAAGTTTGGAAGTATTCTCTCTTCTTCCCATTTTTGGAAGAGTTTCAGAAGGATCCCTATGAATTCTTTGAATGATTGGTAGAATTCACCCCACAAGCCATCTGGTCCAGGGCTTTTCTTTGTTGAAGGTACGGGAGTTGATTACTACTTCAGTCTCTTTATATGTATTCATATGTTAAGGTTTTTATTTCTTCTTGTTTCAGTGTCGGTAGGTTGTATGTTTCTAGGAAGTTATCTATCCTAGATAATTTCTAGGATCCTAGATCCTAGGAATTTATAGATCCTAAATCCTTTATTATTTCTTAAACCCTCCACGTATATGTGTGTGATCTATAAGCACAAAAAAATATCTGGAAGGATATATGCTTTAATAGTCGTATTGCCTGGGCTGGGATTACACAGACTTGGGGGGAGGAAATATCATTTTTTTTTAGTTTGTTACAAAACTTATACTTCCATACTGTTTTTTTAAAAATCTATTTTAAAACCACAGCCTGCAATGAATTCTAAGAAGAAACGATCACACCTGTTTTTCAGAGGAAGCAATCAAGTCTCAGTGAGATAGAGTAAATTATTCATGTGGCTAAATATTGGTGGGACACTAGTTTGAACACGTATGAATGCTGTATTTCACAATTTCTTATACAGGCATTTTTTAAAAATTAGGTGAAAGAGGGAAAACCTAGTTTAGTGGAGCCCAGATCCGAGACTCCCACACTAACTATGCACAAAGGCTCAATAAGCAGAATGCTAATCTTTACTGCTCAAGGAGGAAGTTGAGTCCTGCACAATCAGATGATCTTGGCAGGCTGGGGCATCAAAAGCCTGAGCCATCACTCTCTCTTTATCAGAAATGCTGAATCTCACAGACTGGCCACGGTCCTCTCAGAATTCCTGGGCTGACTCAGAACCTAACCATTCCCTGCTCACCCAGGGCCGGGAGGAAGATTCACTCAGTGCCAGCAGCAGCTGTTGACGCAGCCAGGAGAGCACGTCCGCCCCTACAGGGCAGTTCCACTCTTAATAAGAGAAATTCACTTTACACACACTTTAGGGGAAATGTCCTGGGATGGAGCCAGAGCCAGATGGGCACTGAGCTTATTAAAGGCATGATTGTTAGCAGAAAACATTTGCAAATATGTATGGGTACTTTTGTATATGCATACGCTGTGGGTGTATGCATTTTATCCACCCTCCACACACACACACACACATACATACAGACACACAAACCTCCCTGAATCCCTTTCGATTACAAGATTGCCTTTACAATTGTTCTACAACATACCTTATAGTTAACCCGTCTGTAGAGTGGATATGCTGTGCCTCACACCTCTTCATGCCAGGGTACTGTTTCTCACTCTTGTTTTTCCCTCCTGCCAGGTGCAGCTCATCCACTATAACCATGAGTTGTATACAAATGTCACAGAAGCTGCAAAGAGCCCTAATGGATTGGTGGTAGTTTCTATATTTATAAAAGTAAGTGTCTTGCATTCTTCCATTCTTTTCTTGCTGTTCCCAGCCCAGTCAGAATACTGGTTTAGGTTCCGTTGGATCTCAGAAGTAAAAGGGGATGATGTCCCGGCCCAAGAAGACCTGCAGGGTGGTGACTTTCATATCCATGAGATTTATGACAAATGAGGTCCCTTTCATGAAGATGTAGAAATGATGATTCCATTTCAGAGCTTCAGGGCCTGAGGATTCAGCAGCCTTTGTTCTAGAGAGAAGAGAGGTGCTGGAACCAGGGACAGGCTTCAGGTCCCACATCATGCAAAAGAATGCAATAGAAGGGGAGGGGTGCCTCGTGGACTGCCTCCCACCCAGATTAAACTCCTGTCTATCAGTTGTCCCTTGGAAACAGAGATAGAAGGGAAATGTGAGATATCCCTCCTCTCCAAGCACTGCCCTGAACAGCTACCTCCAGCTTCCCTGAAGTTGCTTTGAATGTCACCTCCCACCTTCCCCTCCCTTTCCCTCATAAGCACCCCAGGGAGAAATTAAGCAAAGATCACCCAGGCGGACTTTATGACATTCTTAGGAGGCTCCACATCTCCCCAGCAGTCAACAACAACAACAGATCTCCAACCAAGAAAATCCTAATTTGTCAAAATAACAATAATAGTCACCTTTAACATTTTGACAAATATGGAGAGAAATGAGTATGCAAATTTAAAGAAAACGAAAAAAGAAGAAATGTCTTTCCAATGGGGAAAAAAAGAGAGAGAAAACAAAAGGAGTGTGTGACAGTTTCAAAAGTTGGCAGTCACTGTGCTAGCTCCTTGGGAAGTTTTGGCCAGACCATGAGAGGAGGTGCCCCAATAAGAACTTAGAATCTAGTGAATGTGATCAGTAGATATCCAGCATTTGCCACTGGGGGGTTTTAGCAGAGTTCTTGTTGTGACATCATCACTGCTCAGGAGAATGGGCATGGGGGCACCCCAGGTACTACCCCCTTTCCCTCCCCAAAAGCATAACCCTTTGCAAAAAGCACTTTGCCCTGCCTGACCATCCCTCTCCAGAGTCCATGCCACCTCCAGAGTTCCTCCCTCACAGAGGTCCCATTGGGCCTTTCTGTAGCCTGGGCAGAGCTGTACATTGGGCAGAGGCATTTCTGACATGTTGGCCACCAAACTCCTCTAACTTGTCATTAGCAAAGATAGAAAGGGGCTTTTGACCAGGAAAGCATATTTTGGAACTGTAACACCTTCTGAATACCTGCTTTGACACCCCAAAGGAAATTGGTCCTGGCACAAATCCTGCTGGTCCCCGCTCTACATCTCTTGGCATCATCACAGGCCCTATTATAATGAACAGCAGATTCCTGAATTCCAGGCACTGAGATATGTACTTTACATATATTTTATTACTTAACCCTAGTAATAAACCTCTGAGGTAGGCGCTAGTACCCTTACCTCACAGATGAGGAAAGTGACTCAGAATCTTCAGCATTCCACCCAAGCACATGTAGCTCTTAGCAGCCCATCCAGGAAAGGAGCTCAGGTCTGGCTTGACTTTAATACTAATGACCTTATTCACACTATATGCCTCCCCAGAAGAACGTGGAGAAAGCAATTGAGATGAAGAAGAGAAAACATGACATTTACGAACATCTGCCCCATAGCCTTCTGCCACCTGCAAGTGCAGGGCAAATCCTATATCCCTGGACCAGCCTCAGTCATGATGTTGATATAACTGGTGCGTTTGCCCTGGGCCATGCTCATTGCTGGGAAGCCTGCATATATGTCCCACTATTGCCTCCTGCATGTCCAGGAGCTCACCTCCCATGGCCTTCCCATCGCCAGGGTTCCATGTCAGCCAACCTGGGCTGCCCAGTACCGCCTGGCCTTTGATGGGTGCCTCAGCCTTGTCCCCAGCTGTGCCTCACTTTGCTCAAAGCCCTGAGTCAGTGGATGTCATTCTGGAAGCTCAGGCATGTTAGAGCTGACAAGGCGATTGATATGCCAGGTCAGCCTCCTCCATAGCAGATGATGGGCATGTATCAGAGGAGCTCACTCTGCACCAAGATTACTGACGCAAGTCCCAGTTGCATGCGTGCCCCAGGGGGATGTAGTCAGTGAAAGGATGGGGACTAGCTCCTCCTGCATCTTCTCAGACCAGTGTGGCCCCTGAGCAAACATGATGCTTTCTCACTGGATCTCAAAATAAGCCACAGCATTGTCCAACATAATCAACTCCCAGATGCTCCACAGCCGAGACTTGTCACTCAGTCATCCTAAGCACTGAGTGTGGGACACAGGCTGGTCCTGTGCTAGGCACGTGCCTAGAAATGAGCCCTTGGCTCCAAGGGCACACAACCTCTGGCAGTTCTCCTCTCCTTCTGAACTATCTGCCCCCCCCCCTTCCCAGATCATTGCCCAGTAGGCAGGCACAGAAAATAAGAGGCCACTCATCTAGGTCAGCTGATCCCTAGAGATGGCACCCTAGTCAAAAACTGAGCCATAGAAGGTTGGAGTTGTTGGCTAAAATCAGAGAATTGTTTATCTGTGGATTTTATTTATCTCTGTCCCCTCCTAATCCTCCATCCTTCTCATGACCACAGGGAACTGAGATTTGGCTGTAATTACTGCTCAATCACACACCATTAACTTCCCACTGAAGCTCACTTATACCAAGTACATACTTTATCCTCCCTCCCACACCACCAACACACTGGAGCCCACAAATCATCTGTGCACACTCTGGAAATTTTTCAGTTATTTTTAATCAGCTCAAAAGGGTCCAGTCCCAACATGAGTGCTGTACAGGTTCACTGGGTCACCCAAGGCACCCAATTAAGGGGCATGGTGGATTCTTTACCTTCCATGACAATATATTTTCATCTCTCCTTTCATGTGAATTGACACAAAAAGGCGGCATCAAGCCATGTTTTAAATGGCCCAAGAGGATGTCAAAGGAGAAGCTAAATTTGGCACTAAAGCTTCTGGGGAGCAGCAGTGTTTGCTTTGGGATGTTTCTCCCTTTAGGAGTGGCTCTGATAAACCCCATTGAGCACTGTCACTCACCAAGCTTCCCCCCTCAGTGTGTGTCTCACCATAACACATCCAGGAAACTGTGTGGGAAAGGAGAGACAGATGGAGGGAAAATAAACAGTCTGTGCTTTCTCCAAACTAAAAATTACCTGTTGCTTATCTAATAATAATAATCATCTGCCGCAATTTTTCCAACCCTCAGAATAAATCAGATTTAAAATGCTGATGTGTCACAGCATCGGATTAGCAGCTGAAGCGTAAATTACAGAGCAGAGCTGAGGCAGGTAGGAGAGAAATGACTGAGATAAACCCTTGTGCCTTGGAAAAGACTGAGCAGAAGGGAGGCTGTTAAGAAAACAGGGTACACAGTTATGTGGGAGTACATCACAGTCTCTAAATGGTGATCCCCTGGCTTGAGCCCCTTGAAGCTTGCCTTGTTCTCCCAAAGAAGGAATTTAGAAACCTGAGGGCATGGGCGTGAAATAGGAACTGATTCCTGGACACCCAGTATGATATTTGACCCATAACAGACACTTGGTAAATATTTATTGGGTGTATAGGCACATGGATAGCTGCATAGGAGGATGGATGGATGGATGGATGGATGGATGGATGGATGGATGGATGATTGAATGGATGACTGGTTGACTGAATTGCATGGCTTATGATATATTTGATTCATGGGATAAGCAGTGATATAAAGTTCTATATTATTTCTTAGAGATTTTTTTTCATCTTTTGATACTTCTATTCTGACTGTTCTTTCTCTCTCACTGTCTAACTGCCCTCTTCCTAAAATGTCACTCCTTACCTCTACTTAAAACTCTTTGATGCTTCCCCATGCCTACAGAATAAAGCTTACATGCCCTCCCATGACATTTAAAGCCTGATAGGAGCTAGCTCCTGCCTACCTCTCTAGCTTTGCCCTCCATCATTTCCCCATACCCTCAGCAACAACTGCATGGAAATACATGCCTGAGTATAACTAGTTCTCACTCTCTCATGTCCGTATGCACAGATCATCTGTATATAATTATTTTCTTACCCTTCCTCCTTTACATACTCTACCAGCAAAGCACCTTGTAACTTCCATTCATCCTTCAAGGCCCAGCTCACTCTTTAGCTCCCCAGATTCCCCAGGTGGGTAGTCTTCCCCTAATATCATTACGCCTGTGACTCTATCATAGCAATCTTCACACTGCACTATAACCATTCATTTACTCACCTGCCTTCTTCCTCTAGATTGGATGTCTGAGAGTAGAGTGTATGTATTTAATGCTGAATTTCCAGCCACCATGGTATTTGGCACATGGCAGGCACTCAATGGCTTTGAAGGAATAAATGAATGTATGGAGGCAGTGTTTATTCTGGGATACAACTGCCCAGTCGTTAATATTTTCTTTTCTCTCCTAGGTTTCTGATTCATCAAACCCATTTCTTAATCGAATGCTCAACAGAGATACTATCACAAGAATAACATATAAAAGTAAGTTTGGTTCGATTTCCTACACAGCAACTATTCTATAAAGGTTAGTCCTGTCTGAAGGCAGAAAGCCAGAACTGATGATCTCCGAGGGCCTCTTTCAGCTTCATGATCCTTTAATTCTCTAGAAAGTCACTCTGGAGAGTCAGAGTTGGCTAAGAAGCGGCTCATTTCAAAAGGACATCCCCGGGGTGCCTTTGTCATCCACGCCTGTCTAAGGCGATAATGATTATTATGATGATGGTCATCGTTATCCCATGGATTTGTAATGAGCTGGGGGACTTGATGAGCTGACAAGCTCCACCACGTCAGCTGGCCACATTTGGGGCTTTGCCAATTACGTGATTGAGAAAGCATTCACCAGGTAGTTTGGATCCAACCTTAACGTTTCCAGAGCTGGACCAGATCTCCCTCTCTGTGTCACTGGGTCTCTTTTCAGGCTTAGGCACTTTTTTCCATTGCTATATGTGATCCACTGTTCTAGAGGACTCTGTCCATTTCCTGGGGTTTCCAGAGTGTTTTATGTCCAGAATCCATAAGCAGATAAGGGAGAAAAGTGCAAAGTTGAAAGGAGAATAAGGAAAAAGGTGCTACTTCTCCCAAAGCAATCCCAGAAGTTGGGAAAAGTTAAGACCTCACGCCAAGAGATGAAAGTAGTACAGAAAAAAAAAATATTTTTTAACTAATTAGGAGGAAGGAGAAAAGTGGGATTCAAGTCCCAACTTTGTCCTTGAGCAAAAAGCTTCATCAATGTTAACTCTGTTTCTTCATCTGTTAAGTGAATAAACTGAACTTCCAACTTCCAGGGTCATTCTGGGTCTGGGATCTTGAATTAAACAATAGGTAAATAATGACTTCATCCCAGTAAAAAGTGGCACGTCAATATTCTTACACCCACATCCCCGCGGAGTGTCCTTCTGCCAAATGAGGAGCTCAGCTGTATCTGCTGCTTCTGCTTCCTGTGGTGATCGGGAAAAGACAGAGTGAATGCTTTCAGGTGTCCCCTGGGACTGCTGGAGGGAGAGTGTGGAGAACCCTTCCCTTGTTCATGTATCCATTCATTTGGAAGATATTTTCTGTACACCTGCCCATGGAAGACACCAGGCAGGCCCCCAGAACATAAATGGCATACCACCAGCCCTGCCCACAAGGTGCCCACTACAAAGTCACTTCTGTATGGAAAGGTTGGGGTGCGGAGCAGCGGGGTGGTGAATGAACATAGAGAACCCCAGCGCACTAGATGGACATCTCCTAAAGGATGGGGTTGTCTCCAAAACCATTCTATCCTTCCTCATTAGAGCCCCAGTGGAGTCCTCTCTAAGTGCACACTTAGGTTGCTCATCTAAGGAAGGCATTTCTGTCTTGTGTGCAAACTGCACATTTTATAATTGCCCATAAAATATTATTAGCCTTTTAACTTTTTTGATTAAAAAAGCATGAAAATTCAATAAAATGTTTTCAACTCATCTTGAATTTGCAGGTTAGAGACCATGAAAAGCCATGAACTTGCACATTAAGCCCCACCACACAATCTAACAGATTGCCAGCTGCAGAGCCGAGTATCAGTGGGACTTTCATCCCCACCCCCACCCCCAACAGGGGGCTGATTAATATTAAGCGACGTGGCTGCTGTGGAACATGAAAGGCCCAATGGGGGTCCAGGCTGTGGAAAGATGGCCTTCCTCAGGGACGGGTACCCATTCTGGGGCAAACTAGGGGCTAGAGAGCCAGCCTAACAGGACTCATTGGGACCAACTGTGGATGGCCATTTTGTGGTTGAGAGAAATTTCAGCTTCATCTATTTTGAATGAAGCATCCCTGCTGACTGCTGCCCCATCAGCTCATTGGGAAGAGAAGGACCCCCTCTGGCAATGGCTGAAGTGGGCAGCTGCGTGAAAACCCAAGACCTTCATTCAGCTGTTCGCTTGCTCACTCCACAAATATTTATTGAGTGGCTCCTAGGTGCCATGAAATAGATCAGTCGAACACATTTTCTCTTCCCAAGGTCCTCACTTTCTGAGTGGGGAGACAGACCTATCGTAGTACATTATAGAGATTTATGTAACGAGCACAATGTGGAAAGTCTAAAGAGAGTTCTTTGGAATCCAGAAAATCTGCTTAGAATGCATGGCAAGGTTGCAAAGAGCAGGTGCCATTTAAATAAGGACTGAATAGATGAGTATCTATTTGCTGGCAAAAGAGAGGCGTGAGGGGAGGAGGAGGCAGGGAAGAAAGGGAGAGAGGATAGGAAGGCAGGCAGGGCGGAGGGGAAAAGAGAGGGAAGGAGGGAGGACATTCCAAGCACAAAGAGGAGCATCCTAAGCAAGGAGAGCATCCCAGGGACTGTGAAGAGTTCAGAGGGAGGAGCTCTGCCTTGGGCGGCAGTTCATTGCAGTGCCCACAGTATACACAGTAAACATGGGTAGGGCCTGAATTAATGCAAGTGTGAGTGGCCCCTTCAAGTAGCAGTAACAAGGGCAGAGGGGGTGACAGGAAAGGTGGTCTGGGTTCAGATCTTGAAGGGTCTTGACACCTGAGGAGTTGAGGCAGAAGACTCATTTAAAGAAATGCCCTTAGGAATGCAAATGGAAGGGAGTGTGAGCACCTCTTCCCCTTCTGTCCCTCATAATGTATCTGTCCTGGCCAAGGAAGAAGAAAGGGAATGAAAGCAAGATAAAGGGACCCCACATGGGGAGAGGTAACCGCTTTTGGCCTCCTAATCACAGGTATTTGTGCTCTTACACTCTGGGCAATAATGGAGGTGTTCCCGTTAGTACCTTTATCACACGCCGCAGAGATAATGAAGGCCCTACCTGTGGGAATGGCCTCGACACCGCTATGCCCAGGACACTGTGGCCGAAAGGGATTGATTTGCTCAGCAGGAGAGCGCCAGCACTCTTCCATCCACTAAACTGCCTGAAGCAGCCAGTCTGTGGAAGATTGGTCTGGTGGCAAGTAGGGGATGTTCTGAAACAGGAATCATTCACTAGGAAGCCGCCAGTGGGTGGGAAACACAAGCCTGGAAGTCTCCCCAGAGGCTCTGTAGACATGCTAGCATTAGCCCCTGAGTTCCAGCGGAGACAACACTACCTGCTTAGGGGCATCTATCAGATACCCTGCTTCCATACTTCTAAGTAAGATTGAAAGAAACCAATCCCTGCCGCCACTGCCACCCAGGATGCCTGACCTTGACCTCCACCCACTCTCCCAGCCCATTCTTCTACTGTTACCCAGAATTACACCCCAGCATAGCTTCAACATGGTACCCACTCTACAGTGGGCTCAGCATCAGGATTAAAGAAACAACACTAATGAGCACTTTCCACATCTCAGGCTCTGTGCTAATAGCTTTACATGCAGCACCTGAGCTAGTGTACATGAAGTACCCACCTTCGGAGTGGTATGACTGCTATCCCAATTTACCAAGGCTGGAAGAAGTGAAGCAATTTGACAAGGGCACACATCTAGTAAGTGGCTGTGTAAGTCAGCAACTTCTGCCTAATGAGCAAGCATTCAAGAAGAAGCACTGGTTTCTCCTGCTGCAGCTGTGAGTCAGTGGGGGGACTCTGCTTCCAGCTGCAGGTCTACAGATCAGCTAGTGTGGGTTGGCTTCACAGGACAGTCACTTTTCTGGGATCAGGTAAATACCCACGGCAAGTACTTCTCATGGCAGAGGTCAGAAATATGTGATGTTACTTAAGGCTTAGGCTTGAAACTCATAAACCGTTACTTTTGCCCACTTTTAACTGGCCAAAGCAAGAGAAATGGCTGAGCCCCACAGCAAAATCCTCCTGTGGAGGTGGGGATGGGAAGGAAGTGAACACTTCCTGAATGATAATCTAGCCTTCCATAGTGAGAGAGCAAGGATTCAATCACAGGTCCTCCCAGGAACTTTTCTATACCTTCATCTTTCCATCATGTTTCCTCTCTAAGGATAGGGAAAACCTTAGCTCTGAGGTCTTAAAACTCATTGTAATGCTGATACTTTTGCATTGCATGAAACTTGGCAGCATGTTTTTTTCTAAATTTAACTTTGGTTCAGTTTCAAGATCTGTCTCCTCTCTTTTTGCATTTGTTTCCACTAGGAAGGGATAGAAACTAACCACGGAATTTGTGGGCACATTGAAAGTTTGGGTTCATCCCATCCCATCCCCAGGTATCTTGGCAGGGGACCACCAGTGGAAATCAGCATCATCCAGGCTATGGTAGCACTGCCTTTGTTAGCACACAGTTACCTGAGAAGGCGTAGACATTTATTCCAGATGGGGTCAATCCTTCCCATCAGTCTTTCTCTTGGAAGCCATTGTAATGAGAAATCAGTCTAAGACTTTGAGCAGAAAGTGACATGATTTACTGACAAGGATCACTCTGGTTGCATATTTGGAAAGAGACTGTAGAGGGGCAAGTGTCAATACTAGGAGATAATTGCAACTATCCCAATGACATAACAATGTCAGTCATGATCCCAGTTGAATGTGAAGGGGGCGGCAAGAAATGATTGGGTGTATTTTGAACAAAGAACCATGAGATTCTTGATAGATCAGATTTATGATGTGAGAGAAAGAGAGGAGTCGAGGATGACTGTAGCTTTTAGCCTGAACACCTGGAGGGAAGACATTCCCATCAGTGGAGCTAGGTAAGGCTGTGATGAAGCATATTCATGAGTGGGGAAGGGAATCAGAAGTTTCGAACATGGTAAGCTTGAGATGTCTATTGGGCATCCAAGAAGAGGTGAGGAGTGGGCAGTTGAGTATATGAGTCTGGATTTCAGGAGAGAGAACTGTAGATATAAATGTGGAAGTCATTGGGATCCAGATGGCATTTAAACCTGGGTGAAATCATGAGTGAGAATAAATAGAGGAGAGAGGCGGGACATGTCCTCATTTTTTGAAAGAGCAGCTCAAATCCCCATGACTTAGGATTGCAAATCATTTCTAAAGATATCTTTTAAATCCCACCCTGGAAGAGGCTCTTGCATGTCTGTCTTATTAACTAGGCGGAGA